ATATATATTGAATATCAAATGACTTGGAATAAAATATTGAAAATATTTTGAATGTTTGAACCATATATTGTGTGCATGATATCAAATGGTTGATTATGAATTGAGATTCAATTTATGTGGATGTTCAACGTTTTAGATATGCTTACTCAGCTTCACCGCTGAGCGTGTAGTGTGTTTTATTTGCTACACGCAGGTAAATAGAAAGATTAATGTGATCCTGGCGGCAGATGGGGCGAGATTGTTGGGATGGATGTGACAAGTTTTGAAATGATTTATGATATGTCAATATTAAATTCGCTTCCGCAATATTGTTAAATACTCCGTACTGCATATGTTATGAAAAATATTATTGAGATTAATAAAGTGTGTTTGAAAAGTTTTAAATTTTATGATTACCAAGTTAAATACTTTAGTCTGAATGGGGCTGTAGACCTGGACGGATTAGGGTGTTACAGGCGGAGTGGGAGTTGGTTGGCAGAACACTTAGGTCCGAAGTTATTTTTGCCTCTCGGGTTGAAGGACTTTGGAATTCTCATTAAAATGGATCATAATGTTTGAACGTAAGTGCTTTTGTTTTTGCGATGGTGTGGGACATGGTGGAGGGTATGATAGGGCCAAGCCCGGATATAACACTCAGGGCATCCGCCCAAAGATACTTAGGGATTTTTGCCTCATTGATCATAGTTCTAGCCATCTCTTCGAGACATCTATTTTTACGTTCCACCACTCCATTTTGTTGTGGTGTACGTGGGGCTGAGAAATTATGATCAATGCCAAGTTCGTCACACAAATCCGAAAATAGATTTCGTTCGAACTCTCCCCCATGATCGCTTCTTATGGTGGTTTCTTTCTCATTTTGAACTTTCTTTAGAAAATTTTTGAAAACGTGAAATGCCTCACTTTTGTGAGTTAGAAACAAGGTCCATGTAAACTTAGAGTAGTCATCGACAATTACAAACGCAAAGTAATTACCACCAAAACTTTTCGTTCTAGAAGGACCAAAGAGATCCGTGTGCAAAAGTTGAAGCGGTCTAGACGTTAAAACAACGTGTTTAGACTTAAATGAAGCCCGAACTTGCTTCCCCTTTTGACATGCATCACATATGGTGTGTTTTTCAAACTTAAGTTTTGGAATGCCAATTACTAAGTCTTAAGAAACCAATTTGTTCAAAAGGTTCATGTTCATATGAGCTACCCTTCTGTGCCATAACCAAGTGTCTTCCTCTTTACTCATGAGGCACTTAGCAAAGCCGGAAGGTGATTTGTCTAAGTTAACCATATAAATGTTATCGATTCTATCACCACGTAGAATAACCTTATTGTCACTAAGGCATTCTACCGTGCATGATTTTGAATCGAAGGTCACACGATTTCCCTTGTCACATAATTGACTTATGCTCAAGAGATTGTGTTTAAGATCTTTAACTAGCAAGACATTATCTATAGAGGAGTCATTTGATTTATCTACCGAACCAATGCCGATGATTTTTCCATTGTTGTTGTCTCCAAAGATTACGGTCCCTCCTTTAGCGGGTTTTATTTGAAGGAACTTGGATGCATCCCTGGTCATGTGCTGGGAGCATCCGCTATCAAGGTACCAAAGTACACTTGATGCCTTCAAGCACACCTATGAAAAACATCAATGAGTTTTAGGTACCCAATTTACGTTGGGTCCTCGTGTGTTAGGTGTGTGATGGTAGTGTGCTTGATTTTGTGATAGGTGCCTATGCCTAGTTAAACAAACGGGGGCAATATGGCCTATCCTATTGCAATAATGACAAACTACATTGGGGTTGAACATATGCCTAGGTTCATAATAGTTAGATGGTCTAACCATATTGTTCCTATTTTGTGAAAAAGATGGTCTTTGAAAATTTGGAAATTGACCTTTCTTAGGTACTCTAACATTATTTCTTCTATTTTGAGAAAAATCGGTTTTATGCACCAAATCATTTTTCTTAGGTTGTCTACCATGAACATTTTCATTCCTAGGTTTTGGTCTAGGTTGTCTAGTGTCCTTAGGTTGACTAGGTTTTCTATTATCCTGATTTTTAGGTTTCTTACATTGAGCCTTAGGTGGTTGTCTAGGCGTTTGCTCAACGTTTTCTTTAACCTTAGCTTTGTTTTTATTAAAACCTATTCCTTCCTTAGAAAAATGCATAGTGTCAAGGAGTAAATTTAAATCTTTGTGCGAAGTACTAAACTTCTTGATCGTGCTCTCAAGTTTAGTGACTTGTTCTTTTAAAGCTTTACAAGATTCACATTCACTAGAGGAACTCTCAGGTTTGTCAGCGCTTCTTTTTCCAAAAAAATTGTTTTCTTGTTTTAATTTCTCATTTTCTTTTTCCAATTTTTCAAAATCGTTTTCAAGTGTGGAAAGATGTTTCTTTAAAGATTTGTTCGTTTTAGAAGCGCTAACAAATTCTTTATAAATTTCATAAAGTGCTTCTTGCATTTCTTCAAAAGTATAAGAGTCGGAAGAAGTGGTACATACCTCTTGGACGTCATTGCTTTGATCTTCGTGTGCCATGAGACATAGGTTTGCAGCTTCGTCCTCCTCTTGGTCGGTTGATTCGTCGCCGGAATCGCCACCCCAAGAGATGTAAGCTCTCGCCACAGCCATAGCATTTAGGAGGACCGTCGTGCTTCCTTCCCTTCCACTCAAATTCCTTCTTCATGAATTTGTGGAACTTTTTGGTGACGAGTCCAAACTCGTTGTCATCGTCGCTTGAAACCTCTTCCACCGGTTCCTTGGTGGCTTTTAGAGCTATTTCCTTTTTCTTTTGTTCGTCCAATGATGGATTAAGAATGGTAGATTCATAAGTTTTGAGATTACCTCTTAACCCATCAATTGTGACGTTGGAGACGCCAATTGACTCGTAGATGGCATCGGCCTTGGAGTGCCATTCGGGAGTCAAGCTGCGAAGGATCTTCCTCACTAGATCCTTGTTGGAGTAGCTTTTCTTCAAGGCGTGAAGATCATTGATGATTTTTGAAAAACGGTCGAAGATGTCGTCGATTTTCTCACCTTCCTTCATTCGGAACATTTCGTATTCTTGGGTGAGAAAATTGATCTTTGCTTCATGAACTTGATCGGTACCTTCGTACGTCACTTCAAGCTTGTCCCACTTCTCCTTGGCGGTTGTGCAATAGGACATCTTTCGGTAGTCGTCGGGGTTAACCGCACAATGTAGCATATTGATGGCCTTGGCATAATTTTCCACCTTGATTTCTTTAGCATCAAACTCGTCCTCGGTCTTTGGGACCATGGTTTCTCCCACTTTCTTCATTGGGATTTGCTCGCCATTTTTGATGACCAACCACAATTGGAAGTTGGTGGAACGAATATAGATTCTCATCTGTTCCTTCCAATAGAACTAGTTGGTACCATCAAAAAGCGGTGGCCTAGAGGTGGATTGCCCTTCGCCAATACCTGCGTACAAATTTCTAGAAGAAGAGCCCATGATCTTATTCCTCTCAAACGGATAAGTCTGGAAGAGAGTTAGGCTCTGATACCAATTGTTAGAAAAATGTCCCAATGCTAGAGGGGGGTGAATAGCGTTTGAAACGAAAATGACGCAAAAATATAAAATTAAAAGCATAAAGTAAAGAGCAAGGAAGAGGCACACCGTTTTTACCCTGGTTCACCACAACGTGTGGCTAGTCCAGCCTCCCGAGAGACTCTCTTGAGCTACACTATCAACGTTAAGCTTAACGGTGCTTAACAAACCCATACAACTTGAGAGTTCGAGTCACACGATCCTCAACAACCCTTCGAAGGAAACAACCCTTTCTTCGAACTACTTAAGAGAAAAACTTTCTCTTATCAAGTGTCTAGGAACACTAAATCACTCAAGAACAATACTCTCTTTTAGAGTGGATAATGAGTAACTAAGAACGCTCAAGAACACAACACGAACTTCACAAAAATGGCTCTCAAAAAGCTATGAATAATGTATGAATGTAATGCAATGAATAATAAGAGTTGTGAAGTAATGTGATATGTAAATGTTGGGAAAAATATCATAGATTTTGATGATGATGTATTTAGAATGTAATAGGGACTTTAGGTCTCCCCCAATATTCAATGTAATTTTTCTTTTTAGAAATATTGTTAAAACCAAGTTCTTGAGTTTTCCAATAAGGTTGTGATATTTCTTTAAGCGTTTTGATGCCTGAAGACTTAATCAAATTCAGTGATATGGAAATTGGATATCTTAATCGGAAAACCTAGAGACAAGTAAGGATTTCTCAAGCAGATGAAAATCCTCTGTTCCGGAAGACTACATAAGAACCGGATGTCTCGCTACAACCCGCTGAAGGCTAAGTCACCCAAATCGGAAGACTAGCGCAGATCTCTCTCTCACCCAGAAGTCTGAGAATGACTTCTCCGAATTTGTCAGCTAAGAACCTGATGCCTCAAGGAAGACCGGAATTCTCAAAAAATGGACAAGTGAGAAAAGACTTAGAAAATTATCTAAGTCTTGAATGAAGAAATTCTACCCGTTGGTAAGGAAAAATCAATCTCTTGATTTTCAACGGCTAGATTGAAGATAATTATGCTGATTCAAGAACAAATGAGTCGAAGACAAAGTCTGAATCTCTAAAAATTGAAGAACCTGTCCAGAATTCCTAAACAAGCACTAGAAGACAAACAGAGTAAAGTGCTACAGTCTTGAATTCTTGAACAACGGCTAGA